TAAAATATTTAATCAAGAACTAAATATTTCTTTTATAATTTGTAACGATCAATAGATGAAATTTAGTGAGTAATCTATAAAAAGTTTATTTTCAATTAAGTTTGATCGAATAATTCAAAAAAAAAAATATACTAAAAAGTCAAATAAGTTTTAATTTTATTTTTCTTTATCAATATTCGATTTTGAAAGAAAACAACATTTTTTTAAAGTTTTTATTTGATGAAAAACAACTAGATAAAATAATATTATCAAAAAACATATTTCAAATGATAAAATCTAATGAAATATGTCAAGCATATCGATATTTTTAAGTTTATATAATGTAATTATTATACATATCAATAGTATTTTCAACTTGTCATAATCAATAGCATTGCAAAAGTTAATTAACATTAAAAAAAATATGTCATTTTGTTTTTTTTTTTCGATAATTAAGAATATTAATCAAAAAAAGGGTCATGCTTATATTAACAAAAAATACATATTTATCATTAATATCATTGGCAAAAAAACAACAAGTACAATCACAGTCAGAATCCTATTATTAATCATAACATGATTGTGATATATATATATAAGTTCTTCTTGACATTACAAGTTGGTTTTTCAAAAAGAATAAAATGTGATATACAGTCAAAGACAAAAGTTTAAGCCAAAATGTATTTTTGATTTTTTCTAACTGAAATCCAAATAGTGATTCGGATAGCCAATGAAGAGCTCTATCAAATGCATCCTATATCAAAATTTCATAGATGATTTAAGGTAACAAGGTTTCTAGAAAATCCAAAACCGTATTTTTCAAGTCTCAGAAGACTTTGCAATAATTCGTTTCTAACAGTACTAACTTAAAGAACATAAAATTCTGAAGAAAATGAAGGGTCGCCGCCTTTCCTATCAAAATTTATAAGCATCACAAAAATCGAAAAAAAAGTGAAATTTATTAGGAGAAACCGCGAAAAATCGTATTTTTGTGATGCTTATAAATTTTGAAAGGAAAGGTGGCGACCCTTGATTTTCTTCAGAATTTTGTCTTCCTTAAGTTAGTACTGTTAGAAACGAATTATTGCAAAGTCTTCTGACGAGGGAACTATCCCAAGTGTTAATCACCGATCGGGTTCATATTTTGTCCATAAGTAGAACTCGATGAGACTAGAAGAACTCTAAAAGAGTTCATCTCCATACGTTGTCTTTCTTGAGTTATGACCGTTTTACTGAATTTTCGGCATATGGCAAGGCATATATAAAAATAGGGGTGAGAAGTTATTGTTATTTTTTGTTATTAATAACAATAACAATAACAAAAAAAGTTATTGTTATCAATAACAAATAACAAAAAAAGTTATTGTTATTAATAACAATAACAAAAAATGTTATTTGTTATTAATAACAAAAAAATAACAAATAACTTTTTTTTTCGACAAATCTTAGCTATGCTTTGTTACTATGTAAAAGTATACCAGTTCTATTTGCTCATTATTGTCCAATTGCTCGATGATGTTACTGACCGCAATCTCCGTTAGATAGCCTATGAAACTGAGAAAAATCCTAAAAAGATCTTTTCAAGTATCTTGCTCACCTACAGGTAAAATTTACTAATCGGTTTACGAGGAACGATTCCTCAATGTTCGATTGCCTTTGACTTGATGTTTTGGTCAAATAAAAGTCTTTGCGAAATGAGATTCTAGGTGCCATTTTTCGAGTTATGATCTGTACAATCTTTCTAGACATTTTCTCATCCTCCAAAGGCTTATATTTGACCAACGCATCAAGTCAAAGACAATTGAGCATTGAGGAAGCGTTCCTCGTAAAGCGATCAGTAAATTTTGCCTATAGATGAGCAAGATACTTGAAAAGATCTTTTTAGGATTTTTCCCAGTTTCATAGGCTATCTAATGGAGATTGCGGTCAGTGACATCATCGAGCAATCCGACAATAATGAGCAAACAGAACTGGTATACTGTTACATAGTAACAAAGCATAACTAAGATTTTTCGGAAAAAAAAGTTATTTGTTATTTTTTTGTTATTAATAACAAATAACTTTTTTTGTTATTGTTATTAATAACAATAACTTTTTTTGTTATTTGTTATTGATAACAATAACTTTTTTGTTATTGTTATTAATAACAATAACAATAAATTCACACCCCTATATAAAAACATGGAATTGCAGAATTTTGACCTGAAATTTTGCCAATAGATAGGTCTCATAGTCATTCGATAGTTCATGAATAGAAAAAAAATTTTGGTATTGATATACAAGATATATTAATACATTTTGAAAATAAACAATTGAGCACAAAATTTAGAAATGAAAATAGAAAAGGTTTTGTGTTTCGTTACTTTATATAAATATAGAGTGAGAAGAAAAAAACTTTTTCATAGATCAGATATGATAGTTGTTAGAATTTGTAGACATAAGTTTTGTCTCATTTTCTAGTTGAAAACACATTTATTGATGTTATTAGTTTATAGTTAAAATTTTTATTTTATATGTTTTAGTCAATAGTATAATCATAATATTTTCTTCTACGTATCGAAAAACAAAAAAAAAGAAGATTATTATCTTATATGAATAATTTATCAAGTTCGTTTGATGAAAATAAGTATGAAATATTTTCATGTTGCTAAAAATTTTATTTATTCAATATAAATGATTGTATTGATATGCATTTATATGTACTTTTTTTTTACATGTTCTTGTAAATATCTTAGAATATTTATGAATAAATATGAGATTAAAATTCTTTTAGTTTTAAGTCATAAAAAGTAAAAAACACAAAAATTTCTCTACTAAAGAAATTTTTTTTGCGATTTTTCAAAGATTATTTTACTATTTTCAAATAAAAATTGACATCAAACTTTTAAGTTCATATTCAAAAAGTGTACAAAATTTTGGTTCTAACGAGGAAACATCTCAAAGTGTCAAAAATGCTTTTCAGTCGAAGATGTGACGGTTAGATGGGGCATAGTTAGACGTGATATATCCCAAGTTGGCTCGTGTCCAAGCAGAGATGTCCATCGCGGCTGAAACTCTGCTGCTGCCGCGCCATGACATTAGAAAAAAAAAGTTACCGCGCCGCGATGGTTTATAAAAAAGTGTTTCGATTTTCACTGCTGCAACTGTATTGGACCAGAAATATTGGTACTAGTCCATCAGATTCATTCAGTCTCGGGGTGTTTCATTTGTAAACAATGAAATTCTATTAAAATCATGCAGTTTTTCAATGTCCTCGAAAAAGAATGCTGCCGCGATGAGTTTTTAAGAAACCTGTCGCTGCCGCGCCGCCACCGCCACGGCGGCAGCGGCAGCGGCAGCGCCGCCATGGACATCTCTGTGTCCAAGTTGCTTCTAGCATAAGTTATGTATTTTTGAAGTTAGAAGGACAATAGCTGCTGATTTTACTGTTGAACCTTTGTTTTTTTTTTTCGAATCAGAAAAAATATATTAGGCTAAATGTTTATTGTGTCTATGATAAACATTGATCTTGATCATTTATAGAATACAGTCCAGGGCTGGCCCGATAGGGGGTTGTAGAGGTTGTGACAACTCCCCAATAATCGAAAATTTTTGTTTTTTCCGAGCGAAAATGAAATTTTTTTCTTGAGTACTCTTAGACAAAAGTTTTATTCGCATTATAAAAGTCCGGAACAACCCCCCAATGTTTGCTGACTCGGGCCAGCCCTATACAGTCAAAACAAAATCATGAAAAACGTAGTATCTGCTTGAATATAAGTTAGATATTATGAATATGACAATTGATGAAAAAAAAATCTTGGAAATATAATATTTTATTGTAATAGCTACATTGTTTTTTCAAAAACTTATCTCTTAAGCTAATAAAACAAAAACAAAAATGAGAACCAGTTCCAGTTTTTAATATAAATAGTATCTTAATTATCTTTTTTTTTATTGAACTTTTTAAATGATCAAAATCAATGTTTATAATAGTCACAATCCGATTCGAAAAAACAAAAACAAAGATTCAGCAGTAAAATCACCTATTCTGCTTCTAACCTCAAAAATACATAACTTATGCTAGAAGTAACTTGGGATATGTCACTTCTAACTACCACATCCCCGACCGAAAAATTCTTTAACGCCTCAAGAGATTCTCTCGTAAGTGAGAAAATATCTTGAATAAAAATTTTTCATCATCGACATAGACTAATAGTTGGTAGTAACTCACAAATTGAAATCTATGTTAGCAAGTTTATTCTTTTACAATATCAGCCGCTTCATAATGTTTCATATTTCCTTTTTTAATTTCCCGAAGATAATGTTAACAGACCCAACCAGCCCCTTTGGTAACTATTGACAAGGTCTATAGATATTTACAATGAACTCGATGTCTTATTTTCATATGAATAACATTCAGGAAATATTTTTTTTCAAGTCATATATGAAACTAATTATAAAAGACAAAACGATTTAATATAGTGCATTGCTTCTAAATATCATTTATTCAATGCAAACAAAAAGAATATAATGGCATAAAATTTGTAAATTATTGTTTATTATTCAGTGAATATAATAAAACATTACAAGAATGATATTTTTTTTTTTAAATAGGAATAAAAATTATATTTATTTCACTCGATAGATTTTGTTATAAGAATTCATTAGAATATATATAAATGAATTTTTTCAATTGATTAAGAAATATAATTATTTTATTTCGACAATGATTGTTTATTATGTTCTAATTTTTATTGAATAAACAAAAAAAACAAAAGTATTTTAAATAGAAGTTTTGTTATAATTAACAATATAATCTTTCATGTTTGAATTTCTTGAGAAAGAAATATGTTTTTAAACTAAATTTAAATCAATAGATTATGTTTATCGTGTTAATACATTCATTGTTCATTGTGATAAATCTACTTTGTTTACTGAAAGAAAACATGTGACCAAGTAAACGAATAAAACATTCGTCCATTTTATCGTCAGATATATCATTCTATTTGCGATTACTTGTAAACATAAATTTGTAAATCAAAATGAGTTCTATATCGAAAATATCAAGTAGATCATCATCATCAGGTTTTTCATCGATTAGACATGAACGATTTTCATCAGTTTGTTATTTCGTATTCTGTTTTTCTAATCATTTTTTATTATTATTCTTTTTTTTTTAAAGACTTCAACGTTACAAACAGTACTTAATATTCAACGAGCTGATATTAATGTTCGTGCAATATTTTGTGGTGAACAAGTAAATTAGAATAAAAATAAAATTAAATATAAAAATTTTTTTCTTTTTTTTTTTTTTTCAAAATAAAGGATTGTCGTTTAAATGAATTACGTCGTATGACTGGTGCTATTATTGATCTTAATATTGTTCAAAATACAAAATATTCATTTGAACGAGTTAATTGGACAATATTACATCGTAATACTGAAATTCGTGATTTTGTTGTACGTCGTCTTAATTATTGGATGCAACAAACACAAATTAATTGTGATATAGCTTATGATGATGCTATTTTTCTACAAGAAAAACGTAATTAATTTTGTGTTTTGTTTCAAATAAAAAAAAACTTGAATTTATTTCTTTTTAGATGAAAAAAAAATAAATAAATTACAACGACCACCACTTTCAACAGCTAATTTTGGACGTCGATATCGAACACGAAGTTTAACTCGTTCGTATTAAATTATTTATTAATTTTTTTTTAAAATAATTTTTTTTTTTGTTTTTTTAGAATCAGATATTACAAATTTAAATTCAAAATGTGATTATATACCAAGTACACCAACAACTTCATTATATAAACGTGATACACCATTTACAGGTCTTCTTGCTCGAACATTATTAAGTATTTGAATTGATATAAAAAAAAATTATTTATTAATTTAATTAAAGTTTATTTTAGATCTTGATTCACAATATATCGAATGTAAAAAATTATTTACACCTCGTAAAAATATTCTTTCTCAAACTGAAGAAATATTATCTAATCGTACAATTGAAAATGTAAGTATTCAAGAATAAGTTTATTACAAAAAAAATCGAGACAAAAACTTTTCTTTTTTTTATGATATATTTTTCAAGATTGAAACAACGCCAATTGAAGTAAATCAATTAATGGAAACAGCAAAATGGTCTGGAATTTTATCCGATACATCTGAATATGAATTGTAAATATTTATTTTATTGATTAATAAAACATTTGAAGTTCTTTCAATGAATTTTTTTTGTAGGAATGAAAATCGAGTTTGCTTTGCAGATACAGTATCAGTAGCTAAACTAGCTGAAATGTTACGAAATAATGAACTAAAACCTACATCTGATATACGTGAAATTGATAAAGTTATACAACAGAGTACAATAAATGTAACAAGTCGTGAAAAAATACGAAAATTTGATGGTAAAAGATATTGGTTTCATCGTGTTATACTTGATGATCATATACAATTTCCTGCTGGTATAAGTCAAAGTACTAATGAAGCTCGACAACTTGCTTATAAACATATGATCGATGTATGTTTAAATAATGGTGGTGTTAAAATGAAAATGTTAACTGATAATCGAGTTAAAGTTGTTAAAGGAGAAAAATTAGAAGAAAAAAATCATGCGAATACTGATGATCTAGATATGAATGGTAAAATATTTTTCTTTTTATTATAGAAAATATTATTCGATTTTCTTTTTTTAGCTACATACATTTCAATGAATGATTTATCATGTTTATCACAATGCAATATAGTAAATTAAACTGCAAAGCTATGAACTTTCTATTTTTTAAGTGCATTCTAATTGAATAGATTTTTTTAATAAAAAAAAGAAATCTTTTACATAAAAAGCTTTTTTTTTTCAACATATAATAAAACAAATTTTTCTTATAAAGATAATAAAATAGTATGTCAAAAGATTAATTTCATTATATATAAATATCATAATATATATCTATTCATTTTATTCAAGATGTTTTGTTTTAGTATTTAAGAAAAAGATTAACAAAATTTATTATAACTTATAAAAACTAACAATGGAAATTAATTGTTTAGATATATATATAGTTTTCTGATTGTAAATTAAGTCAATAGTAATGAAATGCATTAGGTTTTTTGGTATACTTTGGAAGAGAGATAGAAAAATAATTGTATTATCTATTGATTTTGCCTTCTTTAAATATTTGTTGAATTCTCAAATCAATTGCACATATTAGTTTTTTTTTCTTCTATGTCAGATATACTAATAAAAACAATAATCATTAAAAAACATTCGTTTTAACATCTGTGTATGTATATAAAATGTTGACAACAGCTGCCATTATTCTTTGCCTCGCTACTGTTGTCTTGAATCGTTTCCTTTTTATGTATATGTTTATTTGTAATGTTCTTGTCGTCAAAGCAGAACAGAATGGCGCCTTTCAATCATTGCATTTGAAGCATAACCAATAGAATTTCTTATTTGAAATATTTCTAAGAAACCAATTTCTTTATTTTATAATGGAAAGTTTGTTTTATGTTGTTGACGGCAACCTTTTACCTTCATTGAACAACGTCAGTACAAAAAAATGATTATACGCATGCCAGTGTGATTTATGAATCACTGCAAGTTTTTTTTTTTTTTTTAGTAGAAAAATTTCAAAATTCATATTATTCTCAATATTTCAAGTATATAACAGAATATGTTTCTATTCATTGAAATAAAATCAGGTAGATATATATATATATATATATATATTGAAAAAATAAAGATCAAAATTATAATTGACCTAACGTCAATATTTTCCTTTTTTGTTTTTTATATAATCGATTAAAATGTCTATTTGTTAATGAAACTAAAGATAAAGAAAAATATTTTTTTAGTTATCTCTTTTGTCTTTGAATAGTATTTGTTGATGACAATTGATTTTATTTTTTCAATCATTATTATTCAACATAGATCATTCAGTACAAATTACATTATGAATAGAATATTAAAAAAAAAAAAAGATTCTTCAACAACATAGAATAAATTATCTAGTTTCTTTTTTTACTTTTTTATCAAAATAATTTTATACCAATAGTATTAATCATTATTGTTAATGACAAAAACAAAAAAAAATTCATATTTTACAAATATATTAATCGAAGCAAATAAGAACACTTAACAAAACAAAAAAAAGTCTCATTTGTCAGAATGCTTGTAAAAAAAAAAACAATTAGATATTATATCAGATAATTTACATCGATCTCGTAAAATGAGTAAGAGAACGAGCGTTTGTAATTTGGGTAAAAACGAGTCACTATGGAGTGAAGAAAAGCAAGAAAAAAAATCCATAGAGAAAAAAAAAAAGAAAGAATAAAACGACAATAGAAGAACGAGAAAAACAGAGTACATGTAATAGATGAAAGAAGAAGAAAAAAAATGCGGACGTACGACCACGACGCCTCGAGATTATTCTTCTTTTTTTTTTTTTTTTTGATAACCGAATCGAATGCAATAGTTGTGTAAGGCATAGAGGAAGGGTAACAATCGGCTAGTAACCACGTTGACGACATATTTGACAAAAAGGTTGTCGATCATTGTTATATTCTTTGTTCGATAAGACTTTGATTGTCGATAAAAAAAAAAGACGACAATGAGTATTTCGTAGTTTTTTTTTTAATTTTGTTACTAGTTGATTAGTAGTAGTTCTGCATAACATTTTTGTTATTCATTTGAATTTATTCCGATGTATGTCTATGCATTTCTATTAGTAGTTTAGTTAATATTTTTTTTTTTGTATCTCGAAAACCTTTTTTTAGTATTCTATTCAATCATTTATTCGTTCATTATTTTTTAGTCTATTTAGGAATAGAATTGGCTTATCTATATATTTATATATACATCATTTTTCTTTTATATCAACTGATTTCTTATCATTTAAATTATGGGTATGATTAATATTATATTTTGTTTATTTTAGTTGATATTGTTCAATAGTATTCATAGATTTATTATGAAGTATCTTAATAAATAAAACAACATGCGTTATTATAATCCATTATATACTCGAAAATGGACAAAAATCTTTGTGCCTATGTCAACATTTTTTACTCAACTAGGTAAAATAAGTATTAATTTTTTTTTTTT